GCTTTACCCCGTAATTCCACCTCCAATCCGCTCGAATCTAGCCACAAATTACTTGATTACATTAATAAACACTAAATGAATCGATTTGAATGCATAAAAATGAATTTTCAAAAGTTTTTCCCAAAAATTCCAAAATTGCCCCCGGGCCAACCCGGTCAAAACCCGAGGTTCGAACCAAAACCCGGTTAGCCATTCCCCCACGAACTCAAATATGTAATTTATTTTAAAATCGGACCTCAAATTGAGGTCCAAATCCCCAATTTATAGAAAACCTAGGTTCTACCCAAAACCCCAATTTCATCCATGAAAATATTTGATTTTAAGGAGAAAACATGTTAAATGATGTTAATGAATGAAAGAACTGAGTAAAAATTGACTTACAAATGATTTGGAATGAAACTTATTCTTGGAAAATTGCCCAAAGAGTTGTATTTTGAAAGTGGGGTGAAAAATGACTTAAAATTCGTCTAAGTATGAAAAATGCAGGTTGCAGATGTGGGAAATGCGAAGTTGGGTTCGCAATTGCGAACCCTGCAGGCTTGGGAAATGCGACATTACTGTTCGCATTTGCGAACACAGGCCAACCAGGGGACCTTCGCATTTGCGAATTGGGTCTCGCATTTGCGAACCAGTGACCATTGCATTTGTGACGTTTGACTTCGCATTTGCGAACCTTGGCCGGCCTAGGCTGGTTTCGCATTTGCGAACCAGCCTTCGCATTTGCGATAGCTGGACCTTCGCATTTGTGAACTCTGGCTTCGCAAATGCGAATCCTGCAGATCAGCTGATACCAGATTTTTCCAAAAAAATGAGAAATGCGATCCGACACCTATCCAAAACTTACCCGAGCCCTCAGGGCTCCAAACCAAATATGCACACAACCTCAATAACATCCTACGGACTTACTCGCGCGATCAAATCACCAAAATAACATCAAAAACAACGAATCATACCTCAAAATCCCTAGTTTTCTTCAAACTTCATAAACCTTCAAATTTAGAGTTTTAAGTCCGAAACACGTCAAACGATGTCCAATTTCAACCAAACTTCACAGAAAGCGCTTAAACCATATATAAGACTTGTACAGGGCGCCGGAACCAAAATACGGGCCCGATACCACAGTCTTTTAATCAAATTTTATTTCCAATTTCCTTAATAATTTCCGAAAAATAATTTTACTCAAAAATTCATTTCTCGGGCTTGGAACCTCGGAATTCGATTCCGGGCATACGCCCGAGTCCTATATTTTTCTACGGACCCTCCGGGACCGTCAAATCATGGGTCCGGGTCCGTTTACCCAAAATGTTGACCGAAGTCAAATTTATTTAAATTAATATCAAAATTTAGCATTTTTTTCACAGAATTCATATTTAAGCTTTCCGGCTACGCGCCCGGACTGCGCACGCAAATCGAGGCAACCCTAAATGAGATTTTCAAGGCCTCGGAAGCACGGAATGAGTAAGAAAACAGGTGATGACCCTTTAGGTCGTCACAAATACGTGGAACAAGCTAGTTTTCCATAATTATCACTGTAAATTACTCTCTCCATCTCATATTATAAATTGTGGTTACTAAAAATAATTGTCTCAAATTATTTATCATTCTAGAAGTTCAAGATAAAAATGACTATTTCTTTTTTCTTTTTTATCCTTAGTAATAATTGTTCTTGAAGATGGAGATAACACATTTCTATTATATAGAAGAGAGATTAGAGAAGAGGAGGTCAGCCAAAGGGCATCATGATCATTTCAAAAATATAGTTTCATCCTTTGATGACTTGATTGCGGGTTTCTAATGTCGGGAAAAACCAAAAGTAACTGGCCCAAACTACTAAATTTTTCATGTGGACCCCACGTCCTATTCAACTTAAACAATCTTTTGTTTGAAAGCAGACTACCCGACACCTTTAATTTTTTTTCAATTAGTACTTTTAACTAAAAAATTATCTGTTTGGTAATTTTTATAATTAAACATTTATTTGATTAGAAACATATAATGGTTATATACATTTATATACAACAATTCTATTATCTTCTTAAGAAATATTATTTCATTTGTTTTATTTATTGACTATTTTAGGAAAAGACTATTTAAAAAAAATGGCAATAAATTATGTAGATTTTTATTAAGGTGTCTTATATTAGTATCAATTGATATAATTTTAAACAAGTTCTCATTAAATTACACTTTTAATTGGAATAATTTATAAATTAGAAAAAAATATTTAAGAATAAAATAGAGTTTCAACTTCCTTTTTTATTATAGAATATTAAATATTGTTCAAATTGTATAAAAATGATCCCCTCTATAAAACATTATTTGAGAATAATCTAAACAAAAGATTAAGACAACTAACTTGGGAATTTTTTTTGCTTTATTATATATTGGGCGAAGTATCATTCTGCAGGATTATGTTTTTCCCTCTATGATTAAAGTTAGTTGGGTACATCCTCCGTGTTCAATAATTAATACAACATTATATAAATTTCAAAATACATAAATATAGATTAACTATTTTTAAAAAAGCCCAACAGATAATTATGGTAAAGAAAGTTGTATTACACCCCTAGAGTATCTCAATCATAACAAATAAAACTAGAAAAATATTGTGATGCTTCAATTTAATGTCAATTTAATTAGTATTTAGAGTGATTGAAAATTTAATTTATTTTTAATAAATTATTCAGATATGTCATTAAACTAGAATAAAATACAAATTCTGGTTAAAAAATTCTGAATAATTAAAAATTACAATTATTATTTCAAAGAACAAAAGAAAAGTTTTTTCGTCAACTATTTGGAAATAAAATGAATATGTTTTATTATTCAAATTTTGATTAATATAAAAAGAAAAATAATGCATCAACACAATTGAAAATACTAAAAGAGTAAAACTATATATATTCAATTTAAACAATGAGAAAATACATCACAACTTATTTTTCAATTGACTTTTCAATCATTTTTTTAATAATCAATTTTAGGTTTGGTGGTGTAGAACTATTTTTTTAAATAAAAATATGTAGAACATATGTAGAAATACTCTACATTGCACTTGAAGTATTATATAATCTTTGTATAATAAAGTATTAGACTTCAACAAGTATTACAAAGTGATTGGCACAGTAATACGATTTCAGACAAATTAAGATACACATAACGCAAAATATTTAAAAAAATAATACAGGTAAATGTGGTTCTATACATTATTACACAAATGCTTATGTTCTTTTTCTTACCCTAAAGACGAATAAAGTGTAATTAGCAATAGACCAAGAAATATTAAAAGGAAGAAAATAAGAAAAAAGAGCAACAATTGGACCTGTGCATCGCACAGGTACGTCATCTAGTAAATAATATAAATATTCAATAAAAAGAGATGCTATCATAAGGCATATATAAGAGTAAAATAGTTCAATTCTTTTTCTAATTAATATTTTTTAAGGGTGTGTAAAAGAAAAATACTACACATGATCGAAGATAGCGTAACTGTGATATTAACCACAATTTGTGGTGAAAGTGAATATTTTAACAATTACCCCATTTATGCATACACGACAACACATACTATATCAATTAAATAATAAAGATTAACGGCTAATTTCTTAGGATTGCAAGAAGTAATGTTGAAGCTAACACAATTAACCATCACAGAACCCCAAGTGTCATTTAAAATTAGTTGGAACTTTTGAGTACCTATAATAAATGAAGAATTAGTACCGTCTACTGAAACATGCACTCTATACCTCTCTACTCTCTAATTAAATATCAATTTAAGTTTTATATATCGACGATGCAGAAAATATTTGCATCATTTAAAAAATAAGCATAAATAGTACGTAATTATATATTTTTAATAAAAATTACTTAATACTAATAAAGTATAATAAAAATAATAAATCAGGAGTACCTATTATCACAAATCAAACTATATTATAATTTTTTTAATACCATCTGTATATATTTATGTAATTAAATCCTTTAGGGATCGTTTTATTTGAATACAAGTTAAGCTAGGATAAATTATCCATGTATCATTTTTTATTGACTATTTGGTATGTTATATTAATTCTGAGATTGTCAATATTACCATATGCTAGGATAAATTATTGACTATTTGGTATGCTATATTAGTTCTTATACCATATACTTTATCATGAAATTACTATTCTACCTTCTGGCCGATATAAGTTATTCAAATACTATTTTTAATCCTATAATAACTTATTCCAAGATTAGTAACAAACAAGGGATAAGGTAATAATAAACTTTTTTTTTCAGGTTTGTTTTTGCTTATCCATCATACCAAACGAGCCCTACGAAGGAGAATGATAATTAATTCAGAGACTAATTCTGAGTTGAGTTTATTCCGTATTTAATTAGGATAAAATCACGATATAATTATTTATTTCGGGATTGTAGCGGTATTTTTATTTCGATAAAAAAGTGGGACAACAATCCCGATATAACTAATCAAGTGGAATAACTTGTTTTGCAACATAAAGAGCCCTTAGGGTTCGTTTGGTACGAGGGATAAAGGATAATTAATCACGGGATTAAAATTGAGATGAGTTTATCTTATATTTGGTTGGTATAAAATTACACTATAATTAATTTCGGGATTAATTATTCCGGGATTGTAATACTTTTTTATCCTTATAGGAGGATGGAATAACTAATCCCGAAATAATTAATTCTGAGATAACTTCTTTCCAACCAAACGACTCGTTGGTGATATATCTGCACACACAGACATGTATAGCACCTTAGGGGTACCTCTTGTCTTGTTTATTAGTTTTAGGGGGCGTTTGGTCATAAGAATTGTAAAATTTTAAAATAAAGTGAAAATGATATTTGAAAATTAAAGTTGTGTTTGGATATGAATATAATTTCAAAAAATTTTAAAATGTATTTTCAGGTGAAAATTGAAAATTTTATAATCAAAAGTTTAATTTCGGAAAACAGTGAAAAAATTCTTATGTTCAAATGGGTTCTTAATTATATGAGTTAGTCAGATCTCCACGTGCTCCTGGGGACTACCATCTCTCCTTACTTCAATGCCATAATATCTCTTTTATTTTTCTTTGAATGGTTTTCATTTTCATTTACACCACCTTTGACCATTTTGCAACTACTTCTTCTCCAGTTTCTCTCCATCTTTCCTTTCCTACACTAGTTTAATCCTTTCCCCATTTCTAAGTTAAACTCCAGTAGACTCTCCAAATTGTTTGCAACAACATCAATAAGTTGATGGGTAGATAACAGAGCAGAAATACAGTATATTTTTCAAGATATAATCTTTTTTGAGTTTCAGAAATGGTAATGGAAGGGATTCAAGAAGATATGGGTGATGGAAATATGATATGTACAAATCATCCTTACAAAAACAATACCCCAGGCGGGATCTGTGCCTTTTGCCTTCAAGAAAAGCTTGGTAAACTTGTTTCTTCCTCTTTTCCTTCTGCTATTTTCCCTTCTTCTTCCTCTTCTTCAACCCCTTCTTTTAGATCTGATTTTGGAACCACTTCCTCAACTTTACCAGTACTCCAAACAAACAATATCCAAACAAGTGTTTCTAATAACTTTAATCATTATAACACAATGAGGAAATCAAGAATGCCTTTTCTGTTGAGTACTCAAAATAGGAGGAAAAATAAGAAGAAAGATGGTAGTAGTGTTATTGCTACTACTTCAGCTTCAAATGTTGGCATTTCTATGAAAAGAAGCAAGTCTACTACAACCCCAAGAAACCATATGCATTTCTTGGATAATGCTGATGAAGCTGAAGAAGATTATACTCCTCACAGAAAAAGGTTCTGGTCATTTCTTTACTACTCATCTTCTAAACATTCTGCTTCTTCCATTTCCAAGAAAACTGAAAAAACTATTAAAGATATGAGCTTTGCTTCATCATCTTCAGTTGGGGCATCTGTGAATGGTTCAATGTGTAGGTCAAGGGAAAATAAGAAAGAAGAGTTTATAGTAGTGGAGGAAAATGAGAGTCCTAATGAGGCAGCATTTGATAGAAAAGTATCTAGATCTAGATCTGTTGGTTGTGGAAGTAGAAGTTTTTCAGGTGATTTCTTTGAGAGGATTTCAACTGGTTTTGGTGATTGTACTTTAAGAAGAGTTGAGTCTCAAAGAGAAGGAAAGTCTAAAGTTTCATCAGTTCATAATCATAGAAGCAATGGTAGTACAACATCAGGTCAAGATTGTATTAAAGAAAGAGTGAGATGTGGAGGTTTATTTAGTGGTTTTATGATTACTTCTTCTTCATCTTCTTCTTCATCTTCATCTCATTGGGTTTCATCTGAGGAAAATCTGAATGGGAAATCAAGCATAGCTCCTGCATCAGTGGGACATCAGCTTGTACATGGAAGGAATAAGAGTTGGGGATGGGCATTTGCAAGTCCAATGAGAGCTTTCAGTAGTAAAACATCATCATCAAATGGGAAAAGAGATGCCTCAAATAAGAATGCTACTCCAAATTTGGCAGCTATTCCTTCTTTGTTGACTGCAAGAGGCTAAAAAGGGGCTTTCTTTTTCCTATTTTACTACTTTACTCAAGTCTAATTAGTTGGATCGGCGTAACTCGTAAAGTTGTTGTCGTGGGGTTTGAGTCGTGTAAGCAGCCTCTTGCAGAAATGTAGGGTAAGGCTGCGTACAATAGACCCTTATGGTCCGGCACTTCCCCGAACACCGAACATAACGGGAGCTTAGTGCACTGGGCTGCCCTAAAGTCTAATTAGCTACTGATACTACTACTACTACAGAAATTTTTCTTGTTTAAAACTCTGTTTATTTATCAGGTGTGATATGTGCTTATCTCCTTTTGGAACTACCTCTTTTTCTCTTGCTATTGAGGTTGATGTTGATTTTTTGTTAATGATTCTAGTGTCAATTATTTTTGCTTTTGTTGAAGCTTTAGCGGGCAGTAGGGTAAATAGGAAACCACTTCTTTATGTGTATTGTAAAATTGAAATAATTGGTGAATAAAAATGTAATGTAGTTTTTCAGGAGGTGGAGTTGGTGGTAATTCACAAATGATGAATGTGTACTTCCTTTGATCTGTTATTGGAAAGTATTTTCAAGGAGTGGTCCAATCCAATCATGTACTGTATATGTTTGTGTTCATTGCAAATTGCTTATAGGAAACTTTATAAATGGAAAGAATTGTTATTTTTGTTGTTGCTATGTTAGCCTCAAAGGTGGTATGATGATGTTATAATATGTGGCCAATAATTTGTTATTATTGAATTCTGCTGTTCAATTGGGTCATAATTTTTTGGTAGCGTCACAACTTTGGTTAGCAAAAGATCTTTGGTTGGAATTCTGGTTGTGGTAGAGTTTTGATTTATATGCAGAGTTGGGATTAAGAAAAAGACCTTTTAGAGAAGCTTGTAAATTAGGGACCAAATATGGTTAATCCCTTGTAATTTTGAATCAACATGTAACCTCAATACCTTTTTATTTGTAAATCAAAACAAAGTTTATATGAGGGTAAATATAAATTTTTTATTTTACCTTGTGGTTGGAAAAAATAGAAAAGAAAATATAATAACTCTAGTTAGTTGCATGTGTGCAAAGAGCAAGTTTAGGATCTTGATGGAGATAGGTGGAGTGATCCCTAACTTTAATGCATGGCTTTTGTAGTAGAAAGTTTTGTGTAAAATCACAATCTATAGATTTTTTGGAATGTGCATATATTGTGGAACCTTTTTTTCTCTAAGATGTCTCCATGTTGGAGTCTCACTAGTTTAAATGTTACCCTTTTAGCTGGCCAAAAGCCACAAAAATCCATAAATAATGAGTTGCTAAGTATCATGTCACTAGCTTCTCATGTGCAAGGATTCATAGACACATCTAATCATTTGTTAAAATAAAAGGGTGTTGAGAATTATTGAAAAGGAAAGGCTTTTAGAATCAAAGACTCAAGCTTTTGAGTCAAAATACAAGCACATGTTTGGTAGATAGGACACATGCCAAAAGGTCTAAATCAAAGTGACAAATGAATAAAACACCCAAACATATAAGCTTTTACACTAATCTAGCCTTACTAGTATAGTGTATAGTGTATGCATTCACTTAAGTATGTCTCTCTTCTTTCTATCACTTGAGAGAGGATCATTTTGGACTTGAGTGTATAGTGTAGGCTTTCTCTTCTTAAACTTCTTCTGCATCTTAGATCTATCATCAACTTGGCTTTAAAAACTCCCTCAGTTCATCCAACTCACACCCATAAGAACATAGTGATCTTGGCTTGCTTTAAATAGGGTGAATTCTTTTTAGGTGATGAGTTACTATTTGCTAATATAGTAAAGCAAACATGAATTTTCGTCAACTTAGTAGGCGTTTGGACATAAAAATATAATTTTTGAAAAAAATAATAATATTTGAAGTTAAGTTGAAAAATGGTATTTGAATTTTGAAATTATGTTTTGACATGCATTTCACTTGAAAAATGTTGCTTTTTGGTGAGTGGAGATTTTTTTTTTGCAAAAGTGGCCAAAACTACTTTATGGTTTTTAAAAAACTCATTTTCGAAAAAAAATTCAAAAACTTGCAAAATTTCATGGACGAACACATTATTCAAAAAAAAAAAAAATCGAAAAAAGAACAAATTTTTTATGGACAAACAAGTTCTTAGTTAACGTCAATATTACTCCATTTGTATAAAATTATAACTTTAAATTGATTCCATACCAGACACATAAGAAGAAGAGATAAGTGTAGAGGCATATATGATTGAAAAGGAGGACCCCAAATGCATAAGACACTGGAAAAAAGGCTGTTGGAGAAAATAGTGATATTGTTGGAGCAGGACATGATATCTAATAAGCTCCACTCCAAAAAGGACCTGTACTTTGTAGCACCCACCAAAACTGTACATACAAAGACAACACATCACTTGGTTAAATATTTTGGGGCCCTGTTTTAAGTGTTTTGTAGTGGTGTAGAATAGGGAAAATATTTCTTAAGAAGCATTGAATGCAAACATCTTTCTGCCCTTCTTACCAAATTCACTCAAAAACCCAAAGATCTCTCTTTTAGCTGTAGGATATGGGGCAGACTTTAAGCCTCAGGTCCCCATTAACCACACTACAATGTCTTCTCACCTTTTTCCTTCTTTTTTTCCCTCTTCTATATTGGTTCTTTGATTATCCATGATAATGTAAAAGAAGTTTTGAAAGTGCAAATAACTTTTTTTTTTTTGACGACCAAGAGATTGCTCTGGAGCCGATCTTTTGTGCCAATTGCAGCCTTATGATATTCAAAGATAATGGGCTTGTCCCTCTACACTTCTTCACTTAAATATTAAAATTAGTTCGTTTGGCATTAGGCTCGAACCTGTGGCTTAAGAGACAGTCTCTTAACCTTTGCTAATTGAGCTAACCCCTGAGTACGTTAATAACTTCTCTTTTTTTTTTTTTTGTTTTTTTTTGAACGATAAGGAAGCATATATTAATATTAAAGCAAAAGTCTTACATAGTTACTACATTGTCCCTATGGACATTACTATTATTTATAGCTACCAGACTATTACAAACATTGGTACTTAAAAGTCTTGATCCAAAACAAAGACCTTCCTTGTCCTTTTCTATAGCAGCTTCAACAAAAAAAGGTGGACGAGAAAGGTAAAAACATCTATCAGGATTGAATTGGTTGATAGCTTCCTTGCTAGTCGATCTGCTACTGTATTGCCTTCCCTGAAGTTATGCTTGATCGTTGGTATTTTCAACTGGTGTATTAATAACCTGCAGTTAAGTAAAGTATTGTTAGTAAGGGCATTGTCTTCATTGATCGTTTTTATCATGTCTGAGGAATCCGATTCAATTTCTAGTGTAGGGAACGACATATCCAATGCAATTTTAAGGCCTTGCTCCAGTGCTAGTAATTCTGCCTGAAAGAACATGTTGCATAACAAGATTTATAAAATCCCATAATCCAGTCGCCATTGCTATTGCGAAAGGCTCCTCCTATACCTGCATGTAAAGTTGTCCTTAAAAAGCACCATCAATATTGAGCTTGGTTGTGTTTTGAGGGGACTTTGACCAACGAATTTCTATTTTGATTTTTGATTGTTGGAGGGAGTTTCGTTCAGTGAAGAAATTATACTCCCATGATTGATAGAGAACTAGATTTACTCTAAGATATTGACAAGGTTTTTCACGTTGTTATTATTCCTATTTTTCCAAAGGTTCCAAATGGCAAAAGAAAAAATATTTGCCCATTGACATTGTTGGTTTCTGCCTTGCAGGCTAGAGTTCTTTAGGAAAATTAGCCAGTGAGTATTATCAACAGTTTGTTCCAATGTCAATCCAAGGTTTAACCAGAAACGAGTAGCTATAGGACACTTAATGAAGATGTGAGTGGCGTCTTCTGGCCCTTCTTTACAAACGGGACAATGGGTATCAATATTGATTCCAATATGGTGGAGGAAGGCTCTACATGGTATTTTGTTATGCATGCATTGCCAGATAAAGAACTTAATATTATTAGGGCACTGGAGATTCCAAATCCATTTATAATCAAGATTCTTTCACGGATTAATGGAGTAATTATCTTCAAGGAGCTTGTAACAAGATTTAGAGGTAAACAAACCACTACTACTCATATCCCAAGTCATATAATCCTTACCATTTAAGTGGTTAGGGATAAGAGTGGCTTTAATTTTATTGATTAAGGAGCTGGGGAGATCAAAGGAGATTTTTGAAAAGTCCCAGCTATCACCATTCATGAGGTCTTGTAGAGAGAGATTATAATCCGATAGGTGCAGGGGGTCATCAATACTATTTCTAAGGCTAGGGGCATTATGAATCCACCTAGAGATCCAAACATTAATGTTAAGTTTTTGCTAGGGTGCCACAAGGTCCCTTGCATGTAGATTTTCTAACCTTTCACTAGGGCTGCCCAATTAAACGAAGAATTTATAGTGGTATTTTTTTTGGGCATATTTACTGGAAATTAATTGAGCCCAAGGATTATCAGGATAATTAATAAGTCTCCATGTCAGGCTAGTGAGCATTACCAGATTTTTTGAAAGCTGAGCGAATCCCTAGCCCTCCTTCCGATCTTTCTTGAGTGACAGTCTTCCAATTTACTAGGTGAAGCTTTTTCCTAGTATTAATGGTACACCATATGAAATCTCTTTGAATTTTATCTATTTGACTCAAGATCTTTGTAGGGAGCATGGTATATTGCATTAGATGAGAAGGTATGGAACTAAGAGTGGAGGTTGCTAATGTAGATCTACCAGCTATATTTATATGATTAGGTTTCCAATGAGAGAGTTTGTTACGCATTTTATCAATGACGAATTGGAAATCCTTGGGCGTTTAAGATTTAAAATGGGAAATCCAAGGTATTTACCAAATTCAAAATTTAATTTTATATTGAATAAATTGGCAAAATGGGAAGTACTGTCCCGGGACATTTTTTTGAGAAGACGAGCCTAGATTTAGCATAGTTTATAGATAAGCCAGTTTCTTCCATAAAAAGGTTTAGGCAACGCTTAATACAGTTACCCGTTTCCTGTTTAGCTTTTTCAACTAGGGTTAGATCGTCCGCAAAGAATAGATGGGAGAAAGAAGGTCCTCTAGGGCTAATTTTAACAGGGTCCTAGAGCATGGTATCTACTTGATTTTCTATTAGCCTAGACATAAGTTTCATACATAATAAAAATATGTATGGAGACATAGGATCTCCTTGGCGAATTCCTCTACTAGGACTAAAGAACTTAATATTGGTTCCATTAACTAGAATTCCAATTTGGCTTGTGCAAATGCAATGCATAATGAGTTTGGAAATTTTTGGAGAGAAGTTGAAGAAGATAAGGGTTTTATGGATAAAATTCCATTCCAATTTGTCAAAAGAATTCTCAAGATCGATTTTCAATAACATATCATAGTTCGAGCTATTAGAGGTGCGCTATTGTTGATAAGTTCTTGAATAACAATAGTATTATCGCTAGCTCTCCTATTTTTTTATAAAACTAGTTTGCGTTGGACTAACTAGGCTAGGAAGAAATGTTTTAATCTATTGGCAATGATTTTGATAACTATTTTATAAGCAGTGTTACAAAGGCCAATAAGTC